CCTTTTGATTTTGGATCGTCCACGTGAAATTGGTAGCTTAAAATACGTAGCCTTTGTCAGACGCTGATTTTCACCAAAATTTTATTCAACATCATACTTAAAATGTATACACATTATTTTTCATCATGGTAGTATTCATACTCATCATTATGGTCATTATCTTGATTATTACTTTTACTCTGTCACCACATTCATCATTCCTACCACCACCAACATCATCAAAACCATCACCATAACCATGATCATGATCATCGTCGGCATCATTTTCATCATAATCATCGTCATCACCATCATCAGTAATAATAATTATGAATATTATTATTAATGTATAATTATTATTCATGATTATTACTATTATTGTTATTTATTATATATTTATTATTATCATTTATCTATAATTGTTTATTTCTTTAAACCACTGCAAGTGTGGTAATTTCGCCAGTCGGAGAAAAATCATACCCCATACAATGAGAGAGCAAAAGAATTAGTGATACATTAACCAGAATATCATTCGGTCACAAGTGACAGATGTCAGTGATGTCATGGTGATATTGTTTACTTAATATTGGTTAATTATTGTGATTTTGGTAAATCGCTTACAAGCTACGATAATGCATGGATACTTAACTGCGTGGTTATAGGGGATTGAGGGTTTCACTACAACATTTTGCGGTTACATTTATATACTGTGTGGGCCATAGATCGATATGAGACCATTAGCAGCCACTGTATACTTGTAGACCTAGAAATCGCAAATTTAGCCTACACACACCCCATGGGCATTTTCACACATGTATTGGCACATTTTGAAGGCGTGGGGCTATAACTTACCAACTTAATTATGTTTTTATTATGGATTTCATGCCGTGAAAATATTGCTATCTAAATAGTTAGGTGCATCCTGGTACCCATATAACTATTGTGTTAACGCCGCAAACGACTTGACACGAATTAAATCAAATTGGCAAGACTGTACCAGGATTCAGGCCCAGCTTATTAGATTTTAGTCTACAATACTGATCCTACATTCATATTCTAATATGCCGAGTCTAATTCGGTATTATTGAACGTACAGATTAATATATGGCGTCCATAACCGGATTCAAGTGGGCCCAAACGCCACCCCGCCCCTCCTATTTTTTCAAAATTAAAAAAAAAAATGTCTGAGAATGCCTTAAGGCCAACTCAAACAGCGTCGTACGACGCAGCCCGACGCGATTTGTTGTCGCGTCGGGTCTGTGTGAGTTGAACGCAGACGCGATGGTGTGCGTCGGGGGCAGTC